AGCTAGCAACTGCATCCAACTAAGAGGCTGTGAGACCTGGTCATTGAGAGTGGAAGATATGAAAAGATTAGCTGTCTTTGATCATAGGTGCCTGCGCTCTATTTCCTGGGTAAAGTGGCATAATAAGGTGAGTAATACTGAGGTTAGGCGTCGAGTTCTAGGTGAGGAAGGGAAATCAATCGACGAGGTTGTGAAGTTACAAAGACTGAGATGGTTAGGACATGTGTTACGTATGCCTAGTCATCGCCTTCCTCGACGGGCAGTTTTAGCTGATATAGGGTCAGGCTGGAAAAGAGCTAGTGATGGTGGGATCAAAACATGGCTTCATCAGTCAATCAAATCCATAACAGTTAGTTTAAGCCAGACACGTCAAGAGGTGTGTTCTTCCTGACTGGTTGGGGTCCTCAGGACGGTCAAAACCAATGGTAGGAAACAATTGGTGACATGGTTCAAAATAGTTCTCAATGGCCAGCGCAGATGCATCCACTCCTTGTGACTTATGATTTCCAATGAGACTATATTGTTCTTCGTTACTACTATTCCTTTGTCTCACACCTGTGTTTACCGTCTCTATTATGCATTTCTTCTACTTTCTTCTGTTGCTTTGTGTGCTACATGGAGTGTGGCGACTTGAACTGCTGCACATATGTGCAAAGTTCTATGTCGAAAACAGACAGACAGAGAGAACTAAGAGGCTTTACAGCTGCTGAACTTTCAAACTTCAAGCCTGAGTCCCTGAGATCTAGTGGGAATGAAAAGGAATAAATGTTTTTTTTCAGTTAGGTAGCATAATTTCTTCACGCTGACAAGCTTAATCATGATTCTGTCACATTAATACACTTTATTTTACTTTTCTTCATTGTATCAGCATACTTCTTAATGTAAAATAAGATCAGATAATGACCAACACTTTATTGATCTGCTTGCAGTTATAGCATTTGGAATACTATATATATTTACTGTATGTATATCTTGAGTGATTTCTTTGTTTTTGTTTTCACCTTTTCCTTCCTAAAATTCGTGATAAGTGATAGTTAGAAAAACAAACAGTAGTATTAGTAGTAGAAGAAGAAGAAGAACTGAAAAGAAAAGGAAAGAAGGCTTCAGTTTATCAAGTATCATGTTAATGAAGAAATAGAAAGGAAGGTAGATAGAAGATATAGAGTGGCTCAGTGTTTCCATAATAATGATGAGGAAAAAATTTAAAAAATGGATAAGCTTTGGAAGAATACTTAATCAATCGTGTATAGAACTAGTTATCGGAAAAGGATAATCTACTGGAAGTAAGTTGAGAGTCGGTTATACAATTCCCTGTAATATAACTAAGTGTCACCCCTTTCATTTGAAAGTAAACCAACCAGTGAACAGCATATTTTGCAACAAAAAGAGATTCTGAACTGACATAAGAAATCTAATTCATACACCGTATCAAGGGATCACATGTTAAAGTATACTCTCAAAATACACCAGTCCAAGTGACTGCAAGTAGAATCAATACATAATAAGGCATTTCTGATGCAATAGGTCATACATACTAGCTTGAAACTATGCCGACTAATCACTATCTGTAAACAATAAGCCGATTTACATACGACTACAATTCAAGGGCGATATACCAAGTGAGATAATTATGAGGAGATTAAGAAAATCAGTTCAAAGAACTTTTAATGCTGGCGAACTGCACGTATTATTCTCTACACGATCGATGGTGCTACCTCAATTGAAAGATGAAGTACCTAGGTTAGTCACTTCAAATTGTATCTACCAATTCAAATGCGCTTGTGGAGCGAGTCATATTGGGCGTTGTTCTGGGAACTTGGTTTTTCGTGTCTGCTCGAGAACATCTTCCACTATGGCTAAGTAAAGGTGCAGTTAAAACCATTAACAGTTCGATATTGGACCATCTGGGGCAAACCGGCCACAAAACCAACGTAGAAGAATCCTCCTCTATCATCTACTGGGTGCCTAATAAATTGCCAAAAATATCGAAGCACGGTATACTCCAAAATAGCAGAGGCTATTGCAATTCGCCTCAAACAACCAGTGCTCTGTGTTCAAAAGAAGCAAGTCCAGCCCCTTCTACTGCCATGACCAGCCTTCAGTAAAGACTATAAGCTCATGAATTTGTAATATTATTTTTCCTAATTTTTCTGACATTCAGCTTATTTTATGTTGATGTTATTTAGCTGTAATCTATCAATATTTTTGATTCGATGTTATTTAAACACTAATTTTATTTACAACACTAATTCATTCATTCACTATAATGAATATATCACTGTAAAGGCTGATGATGTTATCGAAAAGCGTACTCTTCGTTCAGTATCCATTCTTTTGAAATCTTTTATACTTAATTTTGAAGATCACTTCCTGTGTATCACTGTGGAATGGGATTTACTACCACAGACTGTAAGACCTGTTCACAGAAATTCGTGAATTTAAGGGTGTGCTTTCACATCATACGGATCGGACGAGATAAATATGAATCCATGTGCAATGAAGAACTTGAAAATGCTTTGAAAATTACTCACTATAGCCAGTGTTTTTTCTTGAGGTAAATATTACACCGCGACAGTATACGTAAGAATTTCAATTTTGTAGACAACTGAACAGTACCAACGAGTTCGTGAGAGAGAGAGACGTTTTCGGCTGACAGATTTTTAGATCATTGATTTTTTTCTAATCAACAGCTTGAATTTTCCAGTATGTCGGCTGGGAAGAAGATCCTGCTTTAAGGGAACTGGTTGTTATACTGGCAAATAAAATCGTGTATTTGTTGAACGTATTTACAAGGCGTTATTAACTTTACTTTTCAGTGTGAAGCTAAAGCAACTATAGTATAAAAATTTAGTCAACTTGGATCGCGCAGGTCTCGCTTCTCTCTCGCCTCCTCATAGCCCTAATTTACCGTTCACTAATTTTTATTCAGTAAAACAAGTTCCGTTTCCAATTTTGGACAACTACAGAAATACATTTAACCAAAATTCAGTCACAGCGCGAGATGGAATAAACTGAAACCTGAGTCATAATGTGTAATTGGCGCCATGCCGCCCAAATCACTTAGCCTACATAAATTAAAAAAAACAGTATGAAATATTACCAACTCAAGTAATTCACACAAAATATTCTACAAATTTGTGCTTAAAGACATATGTTGAAAGTCGACTGTTGGGTAACTTATTTCTGATTAACATAGCTAATCTATTTTTTTCTCTCTACTAGCTATTCATATAGACTTAGGTACTGTCAACATTGTTTTTTTTGGTATGTAGTTTTACCATAGCGACGACAATATTCTATGCATGCTAATTATATACACATAATATTTTTTCCCGATTGCATTGACTAAAGTGAGCTATAATTATAATATAAATAAATAAATATATTGCATTAATGAAAAACATAATGAACTAAACTGTTGTACATACTAGAAAGCTCTACATGCAAGTGAATATTATCAAGCTAATCAAGAATGATCCAACTTTGATGTATAATCTGGCTGCTTTCTTTGATGGTAGTGGCGGTAACTTGGATAAACATGAAATAAAAGCTGATACTGTCAAGTGTGAAGTACTATGAGGTGAGATTAAAGTGATACTACGATTAAGCTAGTTTTTTTTCAGCTAAGGTTTTAAAACATGCTCTTCAAGTTTCAGACTATCAGCCACACCTAATGTGTGTTAACTGATGATACTATCCAGTTGTTCACACAGAAATAAGTGGAGAGGGACGCGAATTCAAAACCTAGTGTTGAAGCCAACTAATTACATCTCCACAATAAGATAAGAGTATCCCTTCAATTTAAAAAATATCGTACGTATAGACGTTCAGTAAATATAGTTTAAGAGTGAGGAATAACACTAGAAAATGATGTCTAATAATATGGTATTCACTGAAAATAAAAGTGTCTAAATAAAGTTGACTGCCTTCACTCCATACTGAAAATCACACGACTTGGAATGCTTGGCAGCAGGGACCTCTGGTAACGAACCAATAAAGAAAATTTTGCACAGCAAATATGCAGAGGGAATCGTAGATGTATCGGAAATCTTCTGAGGAGAGTATTGAGTAACATCGCACGAAAGGCAGGTCCTCGAATGGAACCTAGTTGGGAAATGTTGAGTTAAAGGTCGAAGGGTGGTACTGAGGAGATCTTGTAGGGTAAAGGGGATAAAAGCTTATAGGGTCATCCAAAAGAGACTGAAGAGAACAGAATGAAGTGGAGATTTGTTGTTAAAGCCATGTTAACTACTCGGAAGCAAAGTGAATAATAATAAATAGTGCGTTGGTGGCACAGTGGTTAGGACTCTCGCCGACCATCCACATGGTCCGAGGTTCGATCCCCTGCCGATGCACACCTGATATCTATGGTCGGCCTGCGAGATTTGGGCTACCAGTATCACATGCTGAAAATTCCATACTTATACCGAAAATACGGTGTGGCATCAAGCTGTAATCAAAATAAATAAAAAATTAAATAAGTCGATTATGCTTCCTTATAATAATTACAGGTTCTTGAAACATTTACACAACATTATACTCTACCTAACAATCACATGACCTTGTAAACTATAATTCTCCCAACATGTTTTTAAGAAATTAGATCATAACTGAAATTCGAACACATGGCCTTCTGGTTACAAGGCTAGCGAGTTCGCAGGCCATTCAGCCACTGGGACCCTATCCAATGGTCCATGAGTGGTCCATGATGATATGGCATGACCACTAGCGAATATCGTCCGGGAGTATTTGTCCTCACACCCAACCTGCTGTACCCCGCTGGTCACGAATTCCCACTAGAACCCCGGGTAACTACCTACATAAATAGGGCAAGTGAGTATCAGATTGTTATTTAAATGTTGGTTTGTTGGGATGTGATTGGTTTCAGGATTTCATTAGTTGATCAAACAGAGGCAGTATCGAAAAAGAAAGTTTTGATAAATGTTATAAGTTAATTTAAAAGAGTTGTAAAAGATGTACACAGTTTCAGTTTAACTTACCGAATCACGCATAATTGAGAAAACATTTCTGACAAAAAGTACTCGAAATTGTGTTAATTGATTTGCAGCAAATTCACGACTAGGGTCATCGTACTAAATGGTCGTGGATAAAAAAAAGCAAAAAATAAAAAACATTTAAACGTATGTTGGTGTTTCAATTTGTTCTTTTTCAAAGGAACGTCTTAAATACACTTAGCGTTTTCCAATATATTTCTAGATTTCATTACTAATTAATAAATTCCTTACATAGACTTTGAGGACTGAATGTATAGAGAAGAAGATCACGAATTCGGTAGCTACTTTAATTTTTGAATAATAATGTCAATTCAGTACTTCTCTGTGGTGTAGAGACTTCGCGCATCAACAAGAGCATCTCCAATTGGCTGCAGCCCTTTATCAACAGCTATGTTGGCTCACTATTGAAGATGAAATTTCGGAAAGATACCATAAACAGCAAGGGACTGTATCAGTGAACCAGGTAACAACCTGTCAACCGAGAAAACAAGCAAAAGGAAATACAGATAACCTGAACAAGCACTGAAGAGACTGTTCACTGTAACGCTATGGCATGTGCTACTGACAGTAATTTATAATTACTTTGTTGCGTATGATGTCTCATGCAAAAGTTGTGAATAAAAGAGTTACTGATCAGATTGTGGAGAGGCAGAAATGAAATATCTTTGTGAAACAATGTATGAAGCATGAAAAGAAAAAATGAAGCAGAATATAAGAATCTTGTACGAATAGAAATTTTTTATGTAAGATTTCCGTATTTCAGCATCCCTGTGCATGATTTGCTAAACAAACAGTTCTCTTACCGAATAGTACTGTGTTTTGTCTTTAAAAAAAACCCACGAACCAGTTCATCTCGTGAAACCTAAATAGGAAGCTACAATTAAGGCGTCCGAAGCATACATAGAAGAGATCATGTGGGCGGGAAATGGACGCTTGTAAGTAATCGTGCAGTCATAGTAAAGTGATAGCAGAATGGTGAGGGTAAAGAAGATGCACTACTATGGCCGTATCTTCCACTTGGACAGCAAGGGATGAGTAATAATAATGGTAATAACAGTAATATGAAGCAATGTAACAGTCTTTAGTAGATAAATGTTTCAGTAGCAATGAGTATATTATATCCTAACGAAAAGCGTTCTTCAAAATATAAGTATATGATATGGAATTTAAAAATAAACTTTTAGATGTCCAGAGTTTTGAGCACAACAACGAAATATACCTATCTGGAATGAAAATTGTACTTAAAACGACTTATATGTTTTATCAACACTTTCTTTTGTTTATTTGTAATAAAATATATAATGAAAACTATTTAGATGACAATTCTACGATAAAGTTTCTAAAAGCATATATCGCGAATTCAATGGAACCATTGTTTATTGTTTTTGTTTTTGACAAACCATTAAGTTTGAAAAAAGAAAAATATTATGTTAAGTAGAAAAAAAGCTATTTGAAGTGATCGGTGCTTAACGCTCAAATGTTTGTCTGAAATAAAATTAAAGAGTATTTTCTCTAACTATTTTTTTCATTCCTTTACGTTCCCAGGGGAACACAAGGCTTGAAGCTGCAGGTTTTTCAGTAGCAGTGGTGTTTACCTTTACGGAATGGGTTGCTAGCCTCCTGCCCAACCTTCTCTCTTTATTAGTCTTATTACTGGCTTAGCGAGGTAAAGGATTGCATCAGTGGCCAGGTATCAAACGCTGGACAACATATGTAGTTGGCGAGCATTCTACTGCTGTGTCACCCACGCACTCTCTCTAACATAAGCAGTCTAAATTCCAAAGCGTTTAACTTATTGTTATTATTTATTTTTCATCACTAAAAACTAAAAAGAAGGAAAATGACAGACAACCAATATTTAGTTATTTACTTTGATTAAAAAAAGGTCCTACAAAGCTGACTTAGTTTTCAGACAGTTAAACAGAATGAAGAAGCGTCAAAAAGCATTACAGAAGCCAATTAGTTTACATTTAGTCTAAGCCAAAGTAGACATAATTTAAATGAAACATCATTTTGGAAAAATCACTTTAAATGACACTCAAAATATTTGATGAAATAGATATCTAAAGAAAGGTATTCATAAAAATGTATTACCATGAAAGTGTAACTCGTTACTACTACACCTACCATCCTCTCACCGTTTTTCGTGAATTGCGAATACTCAGAAATTGTATCAGCTGGTTTTATTGTAAAGTCATCGACTAAAACGTTTCTCTACACATTCAGGTAACTCTGATAGTTCACGGTCTTTATCAGTCTGCGACCAATACAGATTTAATTTCGTACTGATTTGTTTATTTGATATATGTATGACACAGTGGAATAGTATTAGATGGTTGGAGGCAATCGGCCACAGGAAGCCTTCGACCTAGGTTTCATGCTAGCTGGCACTCACCAGTCAGCAAGGCGTATCTGCAACCTTGAAAGAACTCATGTCCCTTCTGAAATTCAAACCCGCTTCCTGCCGATTGCCTCCAACCATCTAATACCATCAAATCAATGTGCACCGTGATGGCGAGCTAACTAGAATGGTGGTCACATTACAACCTGACTGATAGAATTCAGTCTACACCAGTCAGGGGACTAGACGCATCACACTAGTTACTAGTGTCAAATCAAAACAGTGGAATAGTATTGCTTAGCGGATAACACTTCGAACACAATTTATTGTTCGTGATCATATCATTTGTAACTATACAACTTCGAAACTTGTTTTTTTATAGTTCTTCTTTCTTCCACTCTGTTGTCGGGAGAGTGGAATTTGTCAGATATCCGGGATAAGTAAATAATCATTTTGCATTACACACATTCTCAGCTGATTTAATAAGTAAGGCGTCAGTGGTTAATCTCCTCTTACATCCTGCCTCATGACATTTTAAGACCGTCACATTGATCCATCCTATTTTATGGTTGTGAGAAACTGAGCATAGCGCTACAGCTGAAGTTTCTTTTAGAATTTTTACTTCATTAGCATCTTTCAGTGTAGATTTCGCTGAGTATGGGTACTCTGCTAATTTAACTGACCCCGGCTCACTACTTTTATCTATGTGCCTGACCTCAAAGTCATTGCAGAGGACTAGATAAACTAAATACTTTCATTTATTAAGCTGTACGTCATTCTCTAACCGACATAATTTGTTTCGAAATGACTTTGTGCATTTAAATGCTGCTTTGATTCCTGCCTTGTTAGGAGTTCTACTGGCATCTGAAAAATTCTGCTATCCTTATGACAAGTAAGGATGAGGAAAGACAACTATAAAAATTGAGTTTCGAAGATGTCTATTAGCAAGTGATCTGATTACGAACAATATACTATGTTTTAAACGTCATTCAGTAAACAGTACAGTTTCACTGTGTGAAAAATCTAACAAAAAAGAAATTAATATACAGTTACATACTACCACAGTGTCCAAGTATCACGCCTTTTAATAAAAACGTATATGGTTCACCAATCCAATATAATTCTCCTAAATAAAAACTCTCTATCAACAGACACTTAATTTTTACTAAATATCCTAACGCGTTCATTAAGTGAGTACATTAACTCACTAACTCAGTTAAAAATGCTTTGGTATTTAAAACTGGTAGGTATTTAGTTTAGGAATTTTTAATATATTTTCGCGTTGAAGTTTCTGTAGCAATTTGGTTAAGTTTTGGAAGTAGAGTTGCTAGCACCACGCTCCAACCCTCCCTATTTATCTGGGCTTTGGACCGGCTAGAAAACTAGCGACCTAGTAATCTAGGCGATGTCACTTAAAATCGAAAAGTTACAAGCGAAAACTAACAAACTGGTTGAAGGAGCAGCAAAGACAGGACTCCAGATGAACATAGACAAGACGGAGGCTATGAAAATAACCAACTGACCACAACAGCAACATCCAGTGCCAATCACCATCAACGGGTGGGATTTGAAAGAGGTTACTTCATTCACTTATCTAGAGAGCATTGTCTCAACTACAGGCTGTCAGAACGGACGAGGATGTTAAATCGAGTGAGAATCGGGAAGGCGAGAAACACATTCATCAACCTGAAATCAATCTGGAAATCTTCGTCACTCAGCCAGAATCAACAACAAAATCCAGTCGGATTTTCAATACAAACGTCAACTCAGTTCTTCTATACGGATCAGAAGCTTGGCGGGTCACTAAGAATATTTCCAACAGGCTATTGCAGACCTCTATCAACAACTGTCTTCGCTCTATACTGAATGAGGATCAGATGGCCGGGCCAGAAAGAATCACCAACAAGAAACTATGGGAACAAACAAAACAAGAACAAATCGCCAACCAACAAATATTCAGGAGAAAGTGGAGATGGATTGGACACTCGCTGAGGAGACCGCTGGGTGACATCGCGCGTCAAGCCCTTGAGTGGAACCCGAAAGGGAAGCAGTGAGTGGGACGTCCAAGGGTGACATGGAAGAGATCGTGTGAAGAGGAGTTCAAACAGCGTGAACTAACATTGATGCAGGTGAAAAGTACAGCAGAAGGAAAACAGAAGCAAGTGGAGACGTGCAGTTGAAGCCCTATGTTCCACTAGGAACCCAAGGGAACAATAATAATAATTCAGTTTAAGTCTCACTGTTAACATAATTCCTCACTAAGATATAGATCAGGTGGTTCAGTGATAGAATACTCACCACATAGGCGGTTAGGGATTCGATTCCTGGTCAACTCACTCCTAAACCACTTCATGTTTACTAGAGGGAAGGTTGAACATGAGGCTAGCAGCCGTATACTGTGAAAACAAAATGATGGCTGATTAAACTTTGAGGCTTCAAAAGCCTGAAGTCCACTGTTTCACTCGGAAAGCAAAGGAATCAAGAAAAGATAGAGGTTACATCCTTCATACATATCACCTGTACACACTTCCGGAGACTACAGTCTTAATTCCTTTAACAGATGTCTACTAATCTAACCAAAAGGTACAAAACTGTGTTGTTAGAGATCCTCGGTAGTAATGATAATAATGAGATTAATTACACTGATTTTTCCCTATGCATATAACATTATATTACCCTAAATGCAACTTTAGTTATTTCACCGCACATATTTCGTACTTCATTGAGTTTTGCTTAG